AACAACGTGCACAAGGACCTTTCTCTACCGCATTCACTGCAGGGGTTTCTCTTTCCGGCTTCGTCTATGCTTTTGGTTTCGAATGGGGAAAGAAGGAAGGTGGCCGCTCTCCACTTTGGTCAGCGCAACCTCAGATGATAACAGACATACATAGGAACCAGACCTTCCATAGCACAACGTTGACGACAATAAGTTTATGATGAATATTTGGCATTACTATGCTCCAGTTTTCTTGACTGCTCAGGCATCAGGCTTGAGCAAGAGGTGTCCACATGTCACTTTATGTGTTGTGTCGGTTTGCCCAACACTCCCGATCACTTCGCCTTGCTCTGAATCTTTCGCAAGGAGCCAATTATCGCTGCAGCTAGATTTTCGATGGAGTCTCCTCCCCAATAGGCTTACTCCCATCCAAAACAGGGCTGTGGCGAGATGCGTGGCTCCCGACCTTTTTTCCCAACCAGTGACTTACACGCTGCGCATGCACAGCCTCACTCGGCCCGCGCGGACGTCAAGTCCAGCTGAGCAACGAGAACTCAGACACGAGGATATTGGTCCGGCGTCTCCGCTCAGGTAGCATCACCGTTGGCGTCGTAGAATGGGAGTGTGATGTTAAAGAAGAAAAAATGTGACCGTTGAGCATGTCACAGAGCATGTATTATGCAGGGTCGTCCGGGGTATTCGCCCCAGAGCTGCTGTTGTTAGGCCTCGTTTTCGGGATTGGTTGGCATGTTGAAGTTGCCGTCTATTCCCAACAAGGAGAGGAGGAGCACTGGCGGATGCATGTGTCGGACGCGTCAATTGTGGCACAATGTGCTTCTTGGCGAGATATTGTGTTCTCGAGACTGGTTCCTCACGAACTATATAAAACAAAAGGGAGGCTTCAACCCACGAGGTCCCCATTTCGAATTTCTTTCATGCCGAAACGCCCTCGTGCGAAATGCCTCTTTCGCGCCAATTACCTTTCATTATGTCTCATTCACCCTCAGTGGAACTCGGCGTCGACACGGCCATACCTGACGCCGTCCACCTTCAGCTCAAATCCCAGACCAGCACTGTCGACAATCATCTCCAGTGTAAAGTCAAGATTGTCAAACTCCACGCCTCGTGTTGTTGTTAACCTTGTGAACAAGCTTCGTGGCACTGCTGCAAGATCTGTTGTGAGTGTGCATACGTGTATGAGGTCACGAGTGTATGCCGAGGGCGGTTCGTCCGCTTCGCATGCAATTAGATCGTCTGTCACCGTAAGGGACTGCCCAGGGCGGAAGTTTCGAGTGTAGTGGAATGCGATAGGCTCCTGAGGTGATATTGCCTCGCCCTGCAATCGCATGTCGGTCAGTCGTCGTCCCCTCGGAGGTATGCTAAACACAAAGCCATAGAATTCAGACTCACCTTCGCAATGTGCCACTGCATGCGATCCGACACCATCCACCGCTCCCACAGTGGTGACCAGTACCGCTCGCTGACCGAGTGTTTCTCTTCGTCGTACACGGTTGCATATGATGTGCCGTAGTGGTACCGGGCTTTTCTCGATATCACCATGTTGCCCTCGAGTCCTCGCAGAACTGCTCCGCGCACAACAGCCGTCCAGGCATACACAGGCTGCATCACTTCGATGGAAGCAGTCTCTTGCAGTGTGGTCATGGTTCCATGAGTCGGCCGTTCGGTGTAAGGTGGTGGTGCCGCGCTGTTGAAATGCGACTTCAGTCTGCGGTAGAGGTAGTCGCTCTGGCCGAACCCTCCGACTAACACGATCCCAGACACGACGCCGCCCGCTTGGCGGATCCCATCTACCTGGCCCTGGACAAGATCGCAGACCTCTTTGACGACAGGCTCAAATATTTCTTTGATCTCGGCGGCCGTCATGATCATAAATCCGCAGTCCAACCCGGCCTCTTCGTCGTCTGGTAACCCAGGGAATCTTGCCCAAATTAGAATATTTCCCTTTGCGAGTGTGAGAAGTAAACTTACGGTACGTTGACCTCTTGGTGCTCATCTTCGTTGAAGTTCCGCTTCACAAACTCTTCGAAATATCTGAGGCCCATCTGCCATGTTTTCTGTTTCTTGTGCATCATCTCGTCAAACCGGGTGTGACCGAGCTTGTTCTTCACGTGCTCTTCGAATCTGTAGTTTAGGAATGCGCTTCCGCAAAGACCACCGGTTCCCACGGCAGACTCTTCGACCTTGAGCGGCTTGAGTGAAATAATTTTGTAGGCAATCAGACTATGGTCGTCAGCAATGTTTGCGTGTACTCGTCTGCGCAAGACTTACTCGACAGTTCCGCCACCAGCATCACAGACAATGAAATTGTCGCCAACGTTTAGGTGGTTTGGTTGGATGGCCTTCAGCGTGTAGACAGCCGCGGCTTCGGGTTCGCTGATCATTTGGATCTCCGACATGGACCCCATGCCGGCTCGTTCGGCGGCTTGCAAGGTCGTGTTCTTCGCCGCGTCTGACCATACCGCTGGACAGGTCAGGACGAACTCGACCTTGGTGGACGCCATGAAGGATTCGCCGTATCTTCGAGTCAGGGTGTCTATTGTGTGCTTGTAGACTTGTGTGAGATAGTCGCTAACGGCATCAAGGACGTTCTTGTTGTAGCGTTTTAGCTGCGCCGCCGTTTCCAGCGGGCTCACGTAGAAAGGTAACTTCTGTGAGCGGTCAAGGAATAATTTGATACACCGAAGGCGGGATTCCTCTGGCTTGAACTGGAAGCCCCATTTCACATTAGGTTTTGTGCCTTCGGGGGCATTCTGAGGAAAGTCATAGCTGATCTCGGTGGGCACCTTGTCCGAGGTGATGCCATTGCCGCCGGGCCATGTCTTGATGATTTCGACATCGTCTGGTGTTGACGTGTAGACGGCGGCGACGCTGAGCTGAAGTCAGCCAAAGTGACTAGGGTCAGGCACGACTGCCAGTGCAATGATGGTGTGGGTAGATCACCGCGAATGAGAGGAAGCATCACGAAAGCGAAGGGTGCAAATAAAGAGGAAGACATCTCATGAACATCATGACGGGCATCGAGGCGTGTGCGACTCACCCTGAGAAAGTGGTTCCAAAATCGACGCCTACAATCAGTCGATCGGCCGGGCCGAACAGCTCACGTGGAGGAGCCTGTCGTTGCGGAGGGCCATTGACGGCTTCGGTGGAGGAGTTGGGCGTGAAGCTGGTGAAGTAGCTGCTCCGGCTCGCTTGGTTCCGTAGACTGCTCGAGGCCGGCCGGAGGGGAAGATTGAAGCTCATGGCGGCAGTACCAGATCTGGATATCTGCTCACACCCATAATCCGCACAACGGGACCGGCGGCAAAGACAAAGCGAGCGGGACAAGCCCTCGCATGCGACCCTTGGCGAACCGACTGGAAAGATGGATCAAGGCGATACGTCGTCGTTTCGTGATGTTGCGCAAAAAGGAAGAGTGCAGATCGTCTCTTCAGAACAGCAAGGCTACGGGACCATGATCGTGGGGGGAAGACGGTGGAGGAGGGGTTCGGTGGGAGGTGGGCGGTTTGGTGGCAGAAAAAAAGGAGGGAAAAGTGACAAGTTGAAGACGGCTTCGGGCCTGGAGCAGAGAGCAACGGCAACCGCCGACGATGACGACAAGTAACGACAGAAGGTCGGTTTCGACAGATACGAAGTCGGCTTGAGCCACGTCTGAAGTTTGGAAACGCGGTTTGGTGAGTAGAGTATTCTGCTGCCTAACGGATTTCCTGGTTTCCTTGGGATGAAGGAATGATGGCAGAAGACAGCGCTGGCTGGTCGAGCGTGTGAGCGTGTACCAGCAATGTACCCTGACGCTGCCTGGTGGTTGTTGGTGGTGGTGGTGGTGAACCGCAGGAGGGGACGTCGGAGCGTCAGGCAGAGCAGCAACAGAGCGGGAGGAGCCAGTGCTGGTTCGCGACAGGGTGGTGCGGTGCAGAGCAATGACAGGGCAGAACACGGAACAGGCAGGCAAACACTGCCCCACGTCTCTACTAGTGTACCTCACGCCGCCTGTTAAGAGTTGGGTTGAGTTCCTAGGCTGAAGGGCGAGTGCTTCCTTCCTGCTGGCTTCCTGAAGCTGGCTGGGCTGTGAGTGTTTGAAGGCTGGAGCTGGTGCGCCTGAGGTAAAGGCTACTTGCTGTATCCGTACTGGCGCTGCGCTGATGAGGCGCAGGACGAGCAGGGAAGGTTGGGGAAGGTCACTTGGACAAAGTACCGTGCCGATAAATGGCTGAGGTAAGCCACCACCAATTGGCCGATGATGCTCTTCACTGCAGGTGAGTGAGATGCAGCGCTGCAACCTGACTGGGCTGGACAGGAGGGGAGGGGAACATGCATTATCACGTGATGCCGCCGACTACAACAAGAAGGCACCTTCCTGCAAACAACGCTCGACTTGCCCGGCGGCCGGGAAATCTCCCGAGGCGCATTCTTGGCGTGTCTCGCTTGCAAAAGGGCCAACGTACCTATCGTCGTCACTCATCACCTCAAAATGCCCGGGCACAGGAGTCTTCCCAGCATCTCGTCCGTCTTTAAATATCGCAGAACGCGTAGCCCATGACGAGCAACAGTCTCGTATTCCCATGCCAAGACACGCTGGAATACACTGACAGCTGTCGCTCCCTCGACAGTGCGCCGATTGCGTCCTCGTACAGACGCACGAAGGAAGAGGAGCCTATACAGTGGAGCTGCAGCTTCGAAGCTCGGGCTCCAATGCCGAAAGACACGGGGCCGACGCTTTAGCAAGCAATCGCTCAGGCACCGGGCAGCTCCATCGAGTGGTTCAGTCACGTAACACCGGTGGAGCAGAAAGACTCGTCTTGCCAAGGCAGGACTTACCCGTCACCACCAACCTCGCAAATTTCAATCGTCTGTCTACGCAAGCGGCTAACGTGGCAGAAGGAGCAGTTGCCATTGATCTTCATCTGGTTGTCCAAGCGAACTTGCTCAGAATGGCCAATCATCAAAGCCCTATCGTAACAAGTATCCACCAGCCAACGGCTATCAACCCAAAAAAAAGAATTTGCGACTAGGAGGAATCGAACTTCCATCTGCTCGGAACCAGTTGAGAGGCCACAACGAGCTATTCTAACCGTTAAACTACAGTCGCTTTTCGATGTTGAAGTTTATCCGTATTGTGGGATATGGACGTCCCGACTCAGGGCATGGAAGTGGACAACCCACATCCAGGGCTCAGATGGGTCTCGCTAGCTTTAATCCTGCAGTAAAAGACCAAGTGGGACTTTGTCCGGTAGAAGTGCTCAACTGGCTAAGGTTGAATAGACTTCCGGCGAATAGTGTCAATGAAGTGACTGATCCGTTGAATGTCTGGGTGGCTAGTGTCTAGGTCCTACTGACTGCAGCTGGCTTGTCTGCCTAGAGTGCACTGACTAGCAAACCCGGGCAGAACAGACGCCGGTATTGTTATTCAGCAAACTTCCGTGAGACCCATGAGACTGAAGTATCACTGAAGAAAGATCTGCATAGACTTAGTGACCATGGTCCTGGTTGCCTAACCCAGTTCTCGACGTTCACAACATCCGACACTTACGCATTGCCATACTCCTCGTCGTTTACCTAAGTCTTGGTTTCGTCAATCTTGTCCGCTCTGTACTTGTCAACTCAGCCACTACGATCGTGTATCTGCTTTGGTTTTTCTCCCTAGACCATATTTATACAAATTCCGTCGCCTAAAACCCGTTCTTCCTTACTGTAAGCATATTGTCGATGCCTCGTGGTCTTCATTGTACTTGTTTCACTTGCCCTGAAAGTAAGCATGAACACATTGAAGGTTGAATAGCATGCATCTCAAGGTACTTACTGAAGAGCTGATGACAGTCGATTACTCCTCCTAGTATCTTGTGAGTTGAAAATTCGAAACCCAGCGATGACCCAGCAAAGCGTAGTCTGGGCCTCACATACACCAAGCTCGTTCTCGTTTTTGCGCCTAGCTGCAAGGTCCCGAGGGTTTGAAATTACGGGCCGGGACGAATGCAGGCCCCGAGGATACTTTGGATCCGGCTCCAATTTGTGCCGCCAGTCGTTCATAGTGCAACCTCAATCTCGAGGCAGTTATCCGTGTGTCGGCTGGAAATCGCGACATATCTTTTCACACACACACAACAAGTGGGTGTTAACAAAAAGCTGCTCGCATGTACCTGGCCGGTGTATCTATGATGTACATTCATCCAGACCCGTTACATGTCAAGAGGGCTGGATGGAACCAAATCCAACCCATCTGGACCCCGAAATGCTCAATCATCTCCCTGAACTGTCAAATGGCTTAGTGGCTTGCCCGGGCGTTCTCGCAGCCTGGACACAAGGAGAGAAGATCAAACAAGCCTCCCGTCAAGAAAAGAAAAGAAGCACAGAAGCAAGCGAATCCCTAGCACTTACACATACAAAGTCGTGACTAAAGACAGTCTCGATCCGAGCCGAACTGATCAAGTCCTTCAACACAACACAGTTGACGCGAAATCCAAGACAGGCTCACGACATCTCAAGCTTCCTTTTCCATCACTCGCCAAAAGAAAGCATCTTCGGTTTGACCACAACCAACTACATCATCCTCCCCCAGAATAAGAACTAAACCGCCGTCTCGCAGCCTACCCCACAGACGTCCAATCTTAAGCTGCTCGACAAATCGACACAACAAACCCACCCGGTTCAAACGTTTAATCAAAGCAACCTCCTCTTCTCCCAAAAAACACAACCCTATTCTTTCCGAGAGACATTCCCGCCAAAAAGCAAGAGACATCTCGGAACCACCCGCGGAAGGAGGCTGAGACCCCTCTCAGCCACAAAAACTCCCACCGATCCCACCCCCCCTTCCTCCGTGTCCGCCTCACCTTCAGCATCAACGACTACATCATACCAAAGACCCAATCGCCCTTTCCAAAAACTCCACAATAGTCGTTTACCGTCATCTCAACGCAGAAGAAACCCCCCGTTTCTTCTCTCATTTTCAACCCTGTTCGTGGGGCCATTTGAATAAACACAGCCACGCCCACCCGCCGCCCGAAGTCTCCATCCTCCGGCCCCCAAAACCGGCCGCAGCAAACCTGGCCCGCCCGCCCGATCCTCCCGCCCCGTTCGTTTCCTCCGCCACGTTACAACACAGCTACCTACAGCTACCTACAGCTACACAAATCCTCCTGCATCCCGCGCGCACTCCCACATGCAAGGACCATGCAGCACTCTAAATCCAGCGTTTAATCTCATCTGAACCATGCCCTCAGCTCCATGCAGGCACCCGGCGGTCGACGCTGACAATTTCTCAGCGGCCATCCCAGTATTGTGATTAAGCTTCACATCATGATTGCGAACGGGAGGAAACCGTAGATGGGGGTCATGACAGTGGATAATCTCTTGGATGCCACCTATTATGTAAATAAGTTTGCGAGACTTTGAAAATCGCCCGCCTACATACAGTCCTGTCCTTCTGACTAGGTTCTTTTTGTTTTCCCCCGCCTCATCCGCAAAACCAAATAATAAAGAGCGTTTTCCAAGCAGCGAACCGCTGCTGGACTCAATACCGCCGTAAGTAGCTATAGACAGATACCCTTGTGTATACCATTTGCGTGGGGTACGCCCCTTGCGGTCCGTGTATGTGAGAAATATCCGTCAGAGCAGTCTTTGGCCACATGGCTTTCCTTTCCCCGAATCTTCTGACGTGTCCAGCCCGCAGAGAATCTAGAAAATATCGTGCCTTTGTTTGCCTCCCTTAAAACAGAGAAAGATGTGTGACCATTGTTGTATTCCCTAACCATATGTTTTCCCTCCCAATCCCTCGGACCGTATTCTCTTTGTTGTACCAGATTGGGAGACTGCCACTCCTTGCCCGCGTGAGCCCTTGAAAACAAAAGAAATGTTGTCTTTGGTCGAGGGCGCCATCGGCTGCCCCGCCAGTCTATAGTATCGGGTATTTCGAAACAGATGAGTTGATAAACAGCAGAAGGAAATTGTGATGTGCGCGATAGCGAACGCAATGCCGCCTTGTGGTATCGAAGATATCGTAGAATAATCGAAATGCCACCCTGCTCCCAAACATTTGGGTGAAAGAAAATCGAAATCCGGTGTGAACATCGTCTTCGTCTGATGACGAGATTGATACGCCGGCCAACGCCAAACACCAGGCCCATGCATGTGAATACACAAGAAACTTTTGAGGTGGAAATCCCCGCGGCCCTCTCAGAAAGCCTGCCAGTTGTCACCTAAAATCGGTTGCTGGCAGCCCAGATGCTTGCCGATGCCGAAGCAGCCCATTCGCTTTCCTCATATGGAGGCGTGGGCCACTTGTACTGGCTCTCAGCGCCGTGTGACTTCTTCAGGTCCAGTGGTTTGGGGGTGACTGCCTCGTGGTTCTCGCCGAAGAGAACGCTGTTGCCGTTGGCTGAAGGTGACGGAGTGGGGTACGGGTTTGCCATCGCGAGGTTGTTGGCCATGTGTGGCTTTCCGTCCTTCTCGAGGCGCTTCATGGCTCGGTGTGTTGAGTTCAGAACCTCGTCTAGCAACTCGTCCTCTTCATCGGGCGCGTCGTAGTGTTGGACGCCTTGAACCGCCTGTGACCTGCGCGTGCGACTGGAGATGGGGCCGGTTCCACGAGCAGCACCCATGAGGTTGTCCACAGAGCGCGGCTGGTGCTGCGGCAGTGAGTGGTGCCTCTTCAGGGTACTGTTGGGAGTGATCAGGTGTGCAGGGGGAACGGGCGCGTGGTCGCGGTTTTGCTGAACTTCTCTCAAAGCCTTGTCGAGCGGCTCGTAGATTTCGGCGGGCTTCGGCGGAGGAGTGGGCGTGTTGTCAATCACCATGGATGACCTGTTGCTGTTCCAGGGACCACAGCCGGCTTGAGCCTCGACATCATCGGAGTTCGGAGACATGGGGGCCTGGTGACGACCAGAAAAGCGGCGGGCACGTTTCCTGAGGTGGGAGAAGAAGCTCTCCTTATGGCCGTTGGGGGGCGAGGCGAGACCGCCGTTGCCGTTCAGGGCTCGCTCAGCTTGCTGACGGTGGATTTCGGCGTAATGGTTAGTGCTGGACGCAACCGACAACTGCCTGCCAATTTTCTTCTTCTCCTCGGCCTGTAGGTGGCGTTGGTTGCCGTTGGCGTACGAGTCGTTGTAACCGTTGCTGGCCTGAGCAGTAACGGCATCGGAAAGAGGGGAGATCGGGCGGATCGTGGGCAGTATCGGCATGGGGGCAACGTTCGACGGGCCATTTGTCCAGGTCGTGCGCTTGGACTGAGCAGGGCGGGTCTTGGCAACGGGAACTTCGTTGGTTGTCTGCGAGGGTACGGGGGAGGGTCTCGGGGTTGAGTCCTTAGAAACCGTTTGAGCGACGGCAACTTCTGCACTTTCCGAGCGACCGATGAGCGACTTTCTGAACCAAGACGGCTTAGAAGCCGTGGGAGTCGACGAGTTTGAGTCCTTGCCGCGGCTGATGTCGGATTGCTTGCGACCGAGGATTCTCGAGGCGGATGACTTGGGCCGCAGAGGGTCAACGGCGTCAACGAAGTACTCGTGGGCAATGGCCTGTGTTGATGTCGGGCGCGTCTTGGGATCCCACATCAAGCACCACGTAACGAAATGGCTCAGGGAAGCAGGCCACTGCGGCGCCTGCAAGATCGTGTCCATGGCGTGGGGTGCCATCTTAGGGAACGAGAAACCCAACTTGCCGGCCAGTCTGGTACCTTCTCTCCACTCACCGCCGCCGACACGAGCTCCCTGCTTGTTGTACCAGTTTCCGGGGCTACCCATGATTTCACACACTCTCCAAACCTGATCGACTTCGTTACCACCGGGGAAGAGAGGCTTCAATGTGGCGATCTCGACGGCCATGGCGCCGACTGCCCAAATGTCGACGGGTGCTGAGTACTCGCCGGCACGCAGCAGTACTTCGGGGGCACGGTACCATCTCGTCGAAACGTACGTCGTGTAGGGCAACTTGGAGTGGGTTTCGCGGGCAAGACCGAAATCGGCAATCTTGACGGTGTAGTTCGGGGGAGTGGAGGGAGGCGTGACGAGGGCGGAATACCTGCGGAAGGAACCGACGGTGTCTTGGTGAGAAGAAGTGGACACCAGAATGTTCTCGGGCTTGATGTCGCGATGGAAA